GAGAATTAGACGTCTGGCCAACACCGCCCCCTCCTGGTAGGTCGCCTAAAGCACGGACCCACCCGGAACCATCCGGACCCACCCGGAACCATCCGGACCGACTGCAGGCGTCCCTCTGCAGATCACCATGTAGCGCCTCATGTAGTGTTTGTTCTGACCCGTTTCTGCTCCATGCAGCCTCCACCGTGCAGCTGCAGGTTCTGGCCTCCAGAACCAGAACCTTCAGGTTCGTCATGCTTCACTACCAGGACGATGAGTTACCGTGGAAACCGCTGCTGGTCGGCGCCGCCGGTGTTGGAGCAGAAGTTCCTGCTTCTCACCAACCTGAACAAAACGATGCTCCAGGTTCTGCTTTAACCCGGTTCTGACCCGGTAGAGGTTCTGCATGCAGACTCATGTGTCCTGAGGAGGATCTTCATCACGTGGTTCCCTCATGGGCAGACCATGGTCATTTCATCTCTTCTTTTGTAAATTGTTGGACATTTATATTGACTGTTTTTATATGAAAACAATAAAACAAAGATTAACTGAATATTTCCTGACGAGGTCATCCTTTATGATCAACCAGGCAGATAGAACAAACTTCCTGAACATCAGCTGACATGCCGGGAAGTGAGAGGAAAATCCGTGAGGAAAAAAACTAGCGTTCATCACCAGACTGAACAGTTCAGGAACCATTCCACCCTGTCAGAGGTCCCTGAACGCCTCAGTCCATATGATTCAGACCTCAGATCCATTCTTACCGGTTCCGTTCAGCTTGTCCTTTATTCCCCACGAGTCCATTGATCCGGCTCAATGTGCCAGCTCTTCGTCTTCCTTCGCTTTCTGCTGCTAATAATGTCATATAACGGTGGTTCAATGTTTGTATTTCTGTTTTATGATTATAGTCCAGTGTGAAACCAAACGAACCTCTGAAAACGCGTCCAGTTCTGGTCTCATAGATGTAAAAACTTAAACCTGCTAAAGGTAAGATACTGCTAGCATCACAGCTAGGTTTTAAATGAATTGTGTTTCTGTTTTCAGATTTACTAAGATAATCCACCAGAATTTTGTTTTACTGCATTTCTTCGTTTTTATTTTGGTGTTTCGGTTAAATGACAATAAAAGTAGATCCGTGTGGTGGCTGGAAAAACCGCTCAGTGAAGCCAAATGATCTGGATCCCAGTCTGGAGCTGGAATTCCCACAGTCAATGTGTATTTCTGAGGTAATCTCGCGGTAGACTGCGAGAGTATAGTAGAAGCCGGTTTGGCGCTGTCCGCGGACGCTCAAGTAGCGGTAGAATCATCCATTTTAATGGAAACCTTGCAGAACCTGATCTGGGTTCGGATGGTTCTGGGTTGATTTGGGACCCAGCGGACATTCTGCTCTGTCTGAACTGGGTAAACGGGTTTTCTCGGCCGCTGGAGGCGCTGACGGTCCGGACTGGAATCCCGTTAACGGACCGCTTTTATCGGGTTCGGTCCACCGTGGAACCGTTCTGAGAACCGGACCAGAACCGAACAGGATCTGCTTGGGAATTGTGGGAGGCAGATCCGGGTCAGAAGGACGGTTCGGTTCATACTGTGGAAGCTGAACTGGGATTGTTCTGGAGCGGATGGAGGGACACGTGACGTGGTGCTAGCGCGTCCATCGGTCCGGTTCGGTTCGGCCCGGTTCATCCGGAACTTCATGATCCAGCCGCAGGGGAGCCGCCTGGTCGCCGGGCTGTTCTGCCAGTGCCGGTCCGCGGAGACCCACGCGGGCGTGGACCCGGGCGGGGGGACCCCGGTCTCCCGGCCCGGTTCGGACTCCCGGCCCGGTTCGGACATCCCGGACCATGCGTGCGACGTGTGTGGCGGTCCGGAGCAGGAGCACCGGCTGAAGGTTCTGTTCGAGATCCTGGACGTGAACCGGGACGGAGGGATCTGCGTGAACGACCTGAGCATCGGGCTGAGGAGGCTGGGGGTCCACCGAACCGAGCCCGAACTGAGGGTAAGAGCCACCGAACCGAGCCCGAACTGAGGGTAAGAGCCACCGAACCGAGCCCGAACTGAGGGTAAGAGCCACCGAACCGAGCCCGAACTGAGGGTAAGAGCCACCGAACCGAGCCCGAACTGAGGCTCTTACTGAGGGTAAGAGCCACCGAACCGAGCCCGAACTGTGGGAAAGGATCCGGTCCAGTTGGACGGGTCACCAGCCTGCCATGGTTCCGGCATTCAGGCTGTTTATCTGGGTTCGGTTCGGTTGATCCAAACTCGTCCAGAACCTTTTTTTAGCTTCAGTTCCGAACTTTAACAATGTCAAACTGGGCCACGCCCCCAGGCTCGGAACCACGGGACCCAGAAGGTTCTCCTCCAGAACCTCTCCTGGTGTTTGGATCCAGAACTGATCCAGACGGACAGATGAACTGGAATCAGAGGATTCGGGTCCTGGTTCCGAACCAAACATTCAGACCTCAAGTTCAGATCAGAACCCGGTTAACGGATCAGAACTCTGGGGATACTTTGTTTACATGTTGACCTGAAGGTCTGACCACAGCAGTTCCATTGGGTCTGGACTTTGACTAGGACGTTCTGTTGGCGATTCGCTGCTGGGTTTGGATCCTGGCCCAACTCCACTGACCCCTCAGTGACCCCTCTGTGACCCCTCAGTGACCCCAGGTCATGTGACCGACATCCTGCTGGTTAAACCAGTTCAAGAACTGAAAACCCAACCCGACCGGTTCTGAAACTCCAGAACATTCTGCAGAGGATTCGGGTACTGAGGTCAGAGGTTAGGAACCAGTAGCCCGGATCCAGTTGGCGATTGGCCCTCGAGGGTCACATGGTTCCGGTCCAGAACGCCTGGTTCTGGTCAGGCGGCTTCATGGGAACCTTTTCCTGGCCGCCTGTCAGACAGGAAGTTAGCATGTTGCTAGCTTCCTGCTGAGAGTGGAGCCGGTGCTACGGAAAGCCAGAGCTGCCACTAACCTCCACCGCCAAACGCTGGACTCCCGGCGACTCCACTGCAAAAACCACCAGGTTATATTTACTGGTTAGGGTTAGGGTAGGGTCATGGAGGGTCAAACGCTGGTTTTTACAGAGCTTCACAGCTTCCTGCTTCAAAATGGCGGCTTTACTTAGTTAAAGTGGCAGACATGCAGCGCGGTGTGAGGTTCTGGTTCTGGTTCTGGATGCTGACGGTTCTGTTGGCCTGAGTCCGAGCCGCTGCAGCAGCAGGAGGAGGAAGAGGAGGATGACGAAGGGGAAACCCTCCCTCTCCTCCGTGCTGAGAGCCGGGCTGTGATTGGCTGAGCAGTGTGTGCGATCGCGATTGGCCGGCTGGGCTGCGGCGATGCTGCAGCGTTCTAGAGGATGACGCTGCAGCAGGCCGTCCTACAGCACCAGATGTTCCTGAACGCATCGCGGGACGCTGCGTCTCTCGTCCTGCAGCAGGAAATGATGTGGTTCTGATCTGACCCGGCCCGCTCCAGGATGCTGCAGGAGCTCCTGGCTCTGCTGAGCCGCGCCGAGGCGGCCGGTTCCGACCCGGCCAGTTCTGATCCGGCCCGGTCCACGGGACGCTGCGAGACGCTGCAGGTGGTCCTCCAGAGAAGTCCCGTCCCCTCTGGCCAGGACGCCGCTCCCAGTGCTCCCAGCAGAACCAGCAGGTTGGTCCTGACAGCGGAGCCTCCGGACCTGCAGCAGGTACAGCATCGCTCGGTCCGGTCCAGTTTCCCTTCTGAGTTCAGGCTCTGAACAGAAAATCTAGTGGAAGGAAAACAGGCAGAATTGAGGGTATTGTGTATTATCAGAGATGCGAGCCGGGTCCAGATGGGTCAGAACCAGCCGGGAAACTGCAGCTCCATCAGGATCACAGGTTCTGGGTCAGTGTGACCCGGTCGTGACTGGGAGTTCTGGGAAAACTGAAGCGGTTCTGATCCGGTGGCTCTGAGGGCTGCTGGTTGTTCAGTCTGATGAACATTAATGTTGAATGTTAAAGTTCCTTTCAGGTCCGATTTGGTTCTGGTCAGAGCTCAGTCCGGCTCCGTTTCCCTCTAATGGATCCAGATGACTGATGAGCTCGGGGCGAAGGTGGGGAGGAACCCATGTTGGACGGGTTCAACCATGTTTGGCCCCCGGCTCCATGTTTGGCCCCCGGCCCTCATGTTTGGCCCCCGGCTCCATGTTTGGCCCCCGGCCCCCATGTTTGGCCCCCGGCCCCCATGTTTGGCCCCCGGCCCTCATGTTTGGCCCCCGGCTCCATGTTTGGCCCCCGGCCCTCATGTTTGGCCCCCGGCTCCATGTTTGGCCCCCGGCCCTCATGTTTGGCCCCCGGCCCTCATGTTTGGCCCCCGGCTCCATGTTTGGCCCCCGGCCCTCATGTTTGGCCCCCGGCTCCATGTTTGGCCCCCGGCCCTCATGTTTGGCCCTGGCCCTCATGTTTGGCCCCCGGCTCCATGTTTGGCCCCCGGCCCTCATGTTTGGCCCCTCTCTCTGCAGCGCATGGTGTCGGCCGGCGATAAGGATCTGGACGGCCAGCTGGACTTCCAGGAGTTCGTTCAGTACCTCCGGGATCATGAGAAGAAGCTGCGGCTCGTCTTCAAGAGTCTGGACAGGAAGAACGACGGTGAGACGGGTCGACCGGACCGGAACCGGGTCGCGGATCGAAACGCCGCGGTGACCTTTGGCCTCTGTGTGTTTCAGGCCGGATCGATTCGCAGGAGATCATGCAGTCGCTGCGGGATCTGGGGATCCACCTGACGGAGGATCAGGCCGAGGAGATCCTGAGGAGGTGAGAGGAACCGGGTCCAACCAGGTCAATGCCGGTTCTGATAGTTACAGTAACTGATAACAAAATGAGTCAAAGCAGTGGTTCACTTGGGCCAAAGATGGAGTTTCTGGGCTGCAACACACAATCTCATGTAATCTCATGTAATCTCAGATAATCTCAGATAATCTCAGATAATCTCAGATAGTCTCAGATAGTCTCAGATAGTCTCAGGGTGTTTTTATTCTCAGATCTGAGTTTGTTCCAGTTGGTCCAGTTCACCTCACAGCAGCTTCACTGCAGACCGACCAATCAGGTTGCTGATAGCAGCGCTGGCCCCGCCCCCCAGTTTAGAGGAACTGAGCCATTATATGAATTATAATTATATAAAATTCAACCAAATTATTTTTATTTTTTTAGCTTTAGCTTTATTCATTTAATTATTGTCACATGGATCACTGACGACTAATATTATTATTATTATTATTATTATTATTATTGTTATTATTATTATTATTGTTATTATTATTATTGTTATTATTATTATTATTATTATTATTATTGTTATTATTATTATTGTTATTATTATTATTATTATTATTATTATTATTATTATTATTGTTATTATTATTATTATTATTATTATTATTATTATTATTGTTATTGTTATTATTATTATTGTTATTATTATTATTATTATTGTTATTATTATTATTATTATTATTATTATTATTATTATTATTATTATTATTGTTATTATTATTATTATTATTGTTATTATTATTATTATTATTGTTATTATTATTATTATTATTATTATTATTATTATTATTGGTCTGTGGCTCCCAGTTTTATTCCTGTTTTATTGTGTGGATAAAAATAACTTAATGTTTATGAAATATCCATATTTTAATGCTTAATGCAGGTTTGAGGTCATTTCCACCGTTATGCTGATGATGATCTGGTGGTTTTATGGATTTAAAATATCTGAGTGTCATCAGCAAAACGGAGTCATAAGCATCGGTCCAAACACAGAGCCCTGTGGTACCGGTCTGTGTTTCTGTGGTTCTGTGGATCTGTGGTTCTGTCTAACCGGTCTGTGGTTCTGTGGATCTGTGGTTCTGTCTAACCGGTCTGTGGTTCTGTGGATCTGTGGTTCTGTCTAACCGGTCTGTGGTTCTGTGTCTGTCCCAGAATAAGGGCGGGGTTCATCTGGACCCCAGTCCTGCAGTAAGTATCGCCTCCAGCTGCTTCTTGTTTTGTTTTTGCTTGTTCTGCAGCTTCTCTGTTTCAGTTCCAGCATGGCGCTCCGATCCGATCCGATCCGATCCGGCCGTGCATGTCAGAACCTTCCTGACCCGGTTCTGTACTGACCTGTCCTTCCTCCTGCAGCATGGATAGAAACGGCACCATGACCATCGACTGGGACGAGTGGAGAGACTACCACCTGCCACCCGGCCGACAACATCCCCGAGATCATCCTGCACTGGAAGCACTCCACGGTAACGCCGTGGTAACGCCGTGGTAACGCCGTGGTAACGCCACGGTAACGCCGTGGTAACGCCGTGGTAACGCCACGGTAACGCCGCGGTAACTTCCTGTTGGCTGTTGCTAGGTTACCAGCAGGCCTCCCTCCACAGATCCTGGATGTTGGCGAGAGCATCGTCGTCCCGGACGAGTTCACCGCGGAGGAGAAGAAGAGCGGCATGTGGTGGCGCCACCTGGTGGCCGGAGGAGGCGCCGGCGCCGTGTCCCGGACCTGCACGGCGCCGCTGGACCGACTGAAGGTTCTGATGCAGGTACAATGCCGTCGCAGCCTGAACCGCAGGGATCAAACTCACTCTGATTCAAGGTCATGAATGTTCTTAAAGGGCCGGTATCATAAAACGTTTCAATGTCTGTCCCTCATCAGAAACAAACCGGGAGTTTTATTGATGTTCGAGAAATCCTTTAATCTCCATGGACCTAGCCCCGCCTCCAGACACAGCTCATCCCCCTCGGCTCCTTCAGACTAGCCAGCAGCAATTAGCAAACAGCTGCAGGAACCGCTGAGTGTTAGGGTTAAAGGGTTAATCGAGAAGCCATGTTGGATGACTTCCTGGAGGCGGAGCTTCAAAAACACCAGCAGTTTTAAAGAGGCAGAGACCCAACTTCAGGGCATTAAATCTGGAAGTCAGATTTCTTTATTTGTTGGATACAAGTAGCATTTTTATGACTGACCATAATTACTGATGGTGAATAAAACGCCCGGCTCCCTCAGGTCCACGCCTCCAAAACCAACAGCATGCGCATCGGCAGCGGCTTCCTGCAGATGATCCGCGAGGGCGGCGTCCGCTCGCTGTGGAGAGGAAACGGCATCAACGTGATCAAAATCGGTCCGGAGTCCGCCATCAAGTTCATGGCCTACGAGCAGGTGAGACCCGGGCCAGAACCAGGCCAGAACCAGGCCAGAACCAGGCCAGAACCAGGCCAGAACCGGGTCGTTCCTGCTGACTGAATCTGATCTGCCGTCTCTCAGATTAAACGGCTCATCGGCAGCAACCAGGAGACCCTGGGAATCTCGGAGAGGTTCGTGTCGGGATCTCTGGCTGGGGCGATCGCCCAGAGCAGCATCTACCCCATGGAGGTGAGGGGCGTCCTGCCGGGGCGGCTGCTGCTGTCGCCTTCCACTGTGACGTTTCCACAGTCTCGGTTCTCTACGCTGCATCCCCCTTGCAGAGTGAAATGTCTGATTGGTGCCTGTCCCCTCAGGTTCTGAAGACCCGGTTGGCGCTGAGGAAGACGGGTCAGTACTCTGGGATCCTGGACTGCGCCAAACACATCCTGCAGAAGGAGGGCGTGGCGGCGTTCTACAAGGGCTACGTCCCCAACATGCTGGGCATCATCCCGTACGCCGGCATCGACCTGGCCGTCTACGAGGTGAGTGGACCGGTACCGCGGCGTCCCGGCCCGCGGTACCGGTCTGACCCGTTTCCTCTCCTCAGACCCTGAAGAACTCCTGGCTGCAGCGCTTCGCCACGGACAGCGCCGACCCGGGAGTCTTTGTGCTGCTGGCCTGTGGCACCACCTCCAGCACCTGCGGGCAGCTGGCCAGTTACCCGCTGGCGCTGGTCCGGACCCGGATGCAGGCGCAAGGTCCGACTCATCAGAACCGCTCCTGTCATTTAGAACTCCAACCTGTTTCTTAGCTGTTGCTCCTGTAAGAACCAAACGGGCCCGATTGGACCATCAGAACCAGCAGTCACAGGAAGTGGTTTGTTGTTGATCTCTAGAGGTCGTCAACACGGGGTCAAGGTCATTTAGAGGTCAAGAGATTTGTGATGGTCTATTGGTTTCAGGTCTGATTCAGTGATAAATGAAGCCTTTAATATTAGACATGTTGGCTTTCCCCATCTTAGACCCAACAGGACCAGAACCAGGACTGGACCGGGCCAGAAGCAGATCTGCAGCTTTAAATCTGACTGAATGTCTTCTGACGGAAACTATCTGAACAAATTGAACATTTCTTTAATTAGAAACAGAAAATAATCCCATTAAACATCAAATATTGTAACTGAAGCGAGTAGAAAATAATTTAAACGTAAGATGTTCTGGTTCTGGACTGGCTGGGTCCAATGTGTGATTCTATAACATCTTTGATTCTAACCCCAGAAAAGAGAAGTTTCCTCTGCTGAGCCGACCCGGTTCACCGACCCGGTTCACCGACCCGGTTCATGTCTGTGGTTCTGACTGAGCAAATTAGACAAAGTAAAAGACAGGAAACAGCTTCTGTGTGATGCGTTTGCTGCCCTCTGTGATGCGTTTGCTGCCCTCTGTGTGATGTGTTCACTGCCCTCTTTGTGATGCGTTTGCTGCCCTCTGTGTGATGCGTTCGCTGCCCTCTTTGTGATGCGTTTGCTGCCCTCTGTGATGCGTTTGCTGCCCTCTGTGTGATGTGTTCACTGCCCTCTTTGTGATGCGTTTGCTGCCCTCTGTGATGCGTTCGCTGCCCCTCTGTGATGCGTTCGCTGCCCTCTTTGTGATGCGTTCGCTGCCCTCTGTGATGTGTTCGCTGCCCTCTGTGATGTGTTCGCTGCCCTCTGTGTGATGTGTTCGCTGCCCCTCTGTGATGTGTTCACTGCCCTCTGTGATGTGTTCGCTGCCCTCTGTGATGTGTTCACTGCCCTCTGTGATGTGTTCGCTGACCTCTGTGATGCGTTCGCTGCCCCTCTGTGATGTGTTCGCTGCCCTCTGTGTGATGCGTTCGCTGCCCCTCTGTGATGTGTTCGCTGCCCTCTGTGATGTGTTCACTGCCCTCTGTGATGTGTTCACTGCCCTCTGTGATGTGTTCACTGCCCTCTGTGATGCGTTCGCTGCCCCTCTGTGATGTGTTCGCTGACCTCTGTGATGTGTTTGCTGACCTCTGTGATGTGTTCGCTGCCCCTCTGTGATGTGTTCGCTGCCCCTCTGTGATGCGTTCGCTGCCCTCTGTCTCCCCAGCCTCGCTGCAGGCCGGCCCCCAGCTCTCCATGTCAGCGCTGTTCCGGCTCATCGTCCGGACGGAGGGCGCGCTCGGCCTCTATCGGGGCCTCGCCCCCAACTTCATGAAGGTCGTCCCGTCCGTCAGCATCAGCTACGTCGTCTACGAACACCTCAAGAGGTCGCTGGGGGTCCAGTCCAGGTGAACCGGTCCGGATCGGACCGATCACCCGGTTCCATGTGGTTCTGGATCATTGTGAACCGGTCCTGGTTCTGATGGACTGTCTCAGCTACTCTGGGTCTGAGGTTCTAGATCAGAACCAGAACCGCCCGGTACCATATGAGCGGGATGGATTCCCTCCAGAACTTGACCCTGATCAGAACCAGAGGGTCGGGTTGGGTCGGCAGAACCTCAGCGGCGCCACGAGGATACTTTGACTCCGTCACCATGGCAACCATTCTGTCATTTCCGGTCACATGATCACAGCATGAGGCGTTCAAGTTCCATGGGAAAACTGAGAAACTGTCCTGATCATAGAAACCAGAAACACTCAACTCACAGATCCGATTCCCTACCGGACCGGACCGGCCGGATCCGAACAGACCGGGCCAAACCGAACCGGCCGGATCCGAACGGGCCGGGCCGAACCGGCCGGATCCGAACAGACCGGGCCGAACCGAACCGGCCGGATCCGAACGGGCCAGGCCGAACCGAACCGGCCGGATCCCCATCTGGTTTCTTTTATTTATTTCAGTATTTATTGGTTTGGCTGATCATGATGACACTGATTGTTTGGACCGAACCAGAAGGTTCTGCTGAAAACTGAAACTCTGAATGTTTTCATTATCTGACCCACCAGAACCATCTGACCCACCAGAACCATCAGAATAAAGGCTGGAATGTTGCACTCTGTGTGTTATAGATCTATATCTGACTGACGGATAATAAATCTGAAGTTTTTAAATAATATTTTAGTTTCTGCTGAGGATCCGGTTTTGGTTCATAGTCGGATGGATTTCATCCTGGTTCCGATTGGTTCCGGTTTAAGGTACACATGAATAGAGGGTCTCTGTGACGTCATGAGGATCAAGCTGCTCTGCGGTTTCCGGTTCTGGAATCATGTCTGCCTTCAGTCACGAGCCGCTCAGCCGCCAGGCGTCACTTCCTGACTGCGCTGCGGAACCAGAACCAGAACCGCTCCAGACATGCCGTCCCTGCAGCAGATCCGAACCGCTCTGGAAGGCTCGGGCCAGGCCCACGTCCTGCGGTTCTGGCCGGAGCTCGGTTCGGAGCAGCAGGAGGTGTTCCTGCGGGAGCTGGCCCAGCTGGACCTGCCGCGGCTGGAGGAGCACTGCCGCGCGGCCGCACAGGCGGCGGCCGCCGCACAGGCGGCCTGCGCACCGGACCGGGACCTGGAGCCGAACCTGGAGCCGGTTCCCCCGGAGAGTATGGGCAGCGTGAGGAGGAGCGACCCGGACTGTCTGTCCGGATGGGAGCGTGAAGGTACCAGAACCACAGCGAGGTTACAGCCGCTGGGGCTTTAACTCCGTGTTTTCTCGCGATAGTTCAGAGAATCTCTGCAGACTGTTTAGTTATGGTTAGTGAGTGCGCATGCGCACTAATGATTAACTGCTAACTCCATCTTTGGACCAGGTTTCATCTCAGAACCTGTAAAAACACAAACTGCATCATCCAATCACGCTTCAGAAAGTAGTGTGACGTCAGCATGTAGTGTTGCATATTGTGCGGTACAGGGAGCACTTCAGCTTGGTGCCTGGAGAAATGTCAGCAATATTCAGGTAGAAAGATGGCTGATCGGAAGGTTGCTGGTTCAATTCCCAGCATGTTCAGTTTTACAGTATTCAGAATAAAAAAGTCTGTTTTCTGCTAGTTTGATCAGAAACATTCTGGAAACCGAACTGTTGGGCTTAAAAAGCCCTGAGGCATCACCACATATTCAACATATGGACATCAGAAATGGTTAAAAAGTTGGAAAAAATTCCTGCTACAGCTGAAAATGTCGATACAATGAATGTAACTGTTGAAAGTTTCCTTTCTGATCAGGATTCCTGCAGATCTCCAGGAGCCGCGTCGCGGTTCTGCTCCTGGCCGGAGGTCAGGGCACGCGGCTCGGGGTCAGCTACCCCAAAGGGATGTTCGACGTCGGGCTGCCGAGCGGGAAGACGCTGTACCAGATCCAAGCCGAGCGGATCCTGAAGATCCAGGAGCTGGCGGAGCGCCGACTGGGGTCCAAATGCACCGTTCCCTGGTGAGAGCAGAACCGCCGGGACGCTTTGGGCCAACAGGGAGGAGAACTTCACCCCCCACTGGGAGGAGGAAGCATCTGAAACCTTCAACTTTACGCTACAGACAGAAAAATTAATAAATATACCGCAATATAAAAACTCAGAAAATTTGAGCTCATCTAAGAAATTTTCTAAACTAAAATAAAAAACTAGATGAGATTTTTGAGATCCAAAAGAAAACTCAGAAATTTTACTTTGAAATCTTCTGAGCTCATAAAGTCAAAGATTTTTTAACTTGAGTTAGAAAAGTTTCACATTTTAGGCCTAAAAACCTAAAAACATTTCAGAAACTCCAACCAGCAGCGTGCAGATTGATTGTGGAATATGAGGCCGTCTCCTCCTCACCTGTGCAGGTACATCATGACCAGTGAGTTCACCCTGGAGCCCACAAAGACCTTCTTCCAGGACAACGCTCACTTCGGCCTGCAGCCCTCCAACATCCTCATGTTCGAGCAGCGCATGATCCCAGCCGTGACCTTTGACGGGAAGGTCATCCTGGAGGGCAAAGGGAAGGTTGCCATGGCGCCAGGTGGGTTTGGTCAGCAAACGCAGCAGATCCATGACGACCCTCGGTGACCTGTGTGACCTCTGTGTCAGACGGTAACGGCGGGCTGTACCAGGCGCTGGAGGACAACGGCGTCCTGGAGGACATGGAGCGCAGAGGAGTGGAGTTCGTCCACGTCTACTGCGTGGACAACATCCTGGTCAAGATGGCCGACCCGCTGTTCGTTGGCTTCTGTGTGGCCAACCAGCCACACAGAAGGCTGTGTGGCTGGTCGCCAAGGCATCCGAACCTTGGCGACTGCGGCGCCAAGGTTCGGATGTTTCCTTTGGTTGGCTGACGCTCCGAAGGTTCAGGTCACATCCAGAACACCGATTACCGCAACAAGTTTAAAACTATAATCTGTCCAATTTTAATGGATTAGAAAAATGGAATTGATTGGATCCCAAAACATCTTTAGGGTCAAAGTTCGTTCCTGCAGTTTATCAGTTTAATTTCCAAGTTTTAATTTGGATGAATCACCTGGAAACAAATCTGAGCCAGAGGAGGATTCAGCTATTGAGTTGACCTTTGACCTGCAGCTGCCTCCTCAAGTAGCAGATCATTCTTAGCTTAGCGCTTTTGTAACTTGCAGCTGCAGATTTGACCCAGTTGGGGCGATATACTTTGTAACAATCAGTTCAGTTATTCATGCAGCTCAGACTCACCACAGGAGTCTGAGAGCAGAAAACGGTTCATCAGCGCGCCGCGCAAACCAACATGGCTGAATTTAGCACAACAGCATTAGCTTGTTAGCTGCTGCTCGCTCCGAGTGCCGACCGCTCCGCCTTGCTCCACCAGGTGGTGGCGAAGGCCCACCCAGCCGAGCCGGTGGGCGTGGTTTGCAGGGTGGGCGGCGTCCCTCAGGTGGTGGAGTACAGCGAGATCCGGCCCGAAACGGCCCGGCTCCGAGGATCAGATGGAGAACTGGTCTACAGCGCCGGAAACATCTGCAACCACTTCTTCACCAGGAGCTTCCTGCAGGACGTGGTCGAGTGAGAAACCCGCCGGGACGGATTACCGTCACGTTAACCTGGCATGTCTGCTGACCTCTGCTGACCTCTGCTGACCTTGGTTCTTGCAGGACCTTTAAGGACCAGCTGAAGCCTCACGTGGCTCTGAAGAAAGTCCCGTTCGTGGACTCCTGTGGGAATCAGGTGAAACCGACCGAACCCAACGGGATCAAGATGGAGAAGTTTGTTTTTGACGTGTTTCCGTTTTCCAGGTACAAATAATCCGGCGTGTTTCCAGACTGCTGGTAATCTGGATTACCAGCTGGTTTCTCTGCAGGAACTTCGTGGTTCTGGAGGTCCAGAGGGAGGACGAGTTCTCCCCTCTGAAGAACGCAGACGGAGCGCCAGCCGACACGCCCACCACGGCCAGAAACGCCCTGCTGGCCCAGCACTGCCGCTGGGCAGCGGCCGCTGGCGCCGCCCTGCTGGATGAACAGGGGATCGGCACGCCCATGCCGCCCAGGTCAGAGGTCGCTGACCCTATGCTCACATGAAGGTTCAGTTTGTGGGTTTAGTAGATGTTGGATTCTTGTCGTCCACAGTTCGTCCCCAGAGAATCGTCCGGCGCTGAAATGTGAGATATCTCCTCTGGTGTCGTATTTTGGAGAGGTGAGGAGCAGAACCACGTCGCGTTCTGGTTCTGAACGCGGTTCTGGTTATTAATAACTAATAATCAGAACTCCTCATGCTCCCAGGGCCTGGAGCTGCTGAAGGGGAAAACCATCAGAACGCCGTTCATCCTGGATGGAGCAGCAGCTGCAGAGCTGCAAGCCTGATCGGATCAGAACCACAGACACACCGGGCCTGGAGAACCAGTCAACCAATCAGGGATCAACTGAAGACTTTATACAAACTGTTTTTATACCAACAAATAAAAAGATGATTCAAACTGTTTAATTTTATTAAACTGACTCAGAAACCCAAACGTGGAGTTCAAGTCAAAGCACTTTAAAGCACGGTGGTGCAGGTATGATGATGTGGGGATGTTTCTCATATTCTGAAGCGTTTATTGCAAACCAGGGATGCTGCTGCAATGAGCCGAACACACCAGGAGCGGACAGCACCTCGGGTCCAAACAAGATTACAAGAAATTAATAATCAAATTAAACAGAAAAACAACAACACGGTTAAAATCTACGGAGCCCCCAAAGGGACATGGGGAGTTTGTTTTTGTTTTGCAAAGAAAAATAAATTCCCCATGTCCCTTTGGGGGCTCCGTAAAAATCTGAATCAGACAATGCATTAACGGATTGGTTAATCAATTCAAAATCCATTTCTGTAAAAGATATAATGGTGTAAACTGAAAAAAGCATAAAACTAAAATCATTTGAAAGCAAAAAATGGCAAACCACCGAATAAACTTCAACACATTAAAACAAAATTTGTAAAACTTAACTAATTTACAGTAAAATTCAAAATAATGAACTGAAATAGTACAAAAAGGGAAAATTGTAAAGAAAACTAAAATTAAATAAAGTGAACTATAGGGTCTGATCCCCTGAGCAAGATGGCGGCTTCGGCTGCAGTTGTCTCAGGCTCCTGCTCTGTCACGTGTCAACTGTCGACCAATCAGAGCTGTGTGCGTTCAGGACGACAACAACCCGCTGAGCGGCGGAATGCTAGCGGACCGCTGGTCCGAAACACGGATTCAGACGCGGGTTTCGACTGATTTCTGTTCGGGGTTAGTTCATTTAACCCGACCCGGTCCAGTAGAACTGTTCTGGGGTTCTGACTGAGTTCCGCCCGGGTCCTTCCCGAGCTGTTCGCATCCCGCAGCGCCTGTTAGCATGCCGGTTCTGGAATGCTAGCGATGTTCAAGAATGTGTTCGGTTCGGGATTCCTGGTGAGGACGGCCCACGTGGTTCTGACCTGGATCATCACGCTCATCCTCTTCCTGTATGACACAGGTGAGTCCGTCCGTGGTTTTCCAGGTTTTCCAGGAGTTCCAGGTTTTCCAGGTCAGGACTCTCTTGTTTCCCCGGCAGAGCTGAGGAAGCAGGAGGAAACGGGCCAGCTGCTGCAGCCGGTTCTGTTCGTCCTGCTGGTTCTGGTGTCGGTTCTGCTGTACTTCGCGGTGTCGCTCATGGATCCGGGATTCATTCTGACTGAGGACAGCGACCTGCAGGTGAGCCGGAAGTGGTCTGGGTCGGAACCACGCAGGTCTGGGAGCCTTTCTGCTGAAAGTGGTGAACCCAGTTGAACTTTAACCTCGGGTTATTTCCGGGACATTCGGGCTCGAGACATTCGAGCGTCTCCAGACTTTGGGGATGTTCTGGATCGAACCGATCCAACAGAACCAGCGGTTCTGTCACAGCAGTTACATGATACAAACCAGAGCTGGACGATCCAGACTGAGAAAATATGTTGAGAAATATTTTATAACATTTATGAACTGACAAACATTCCATTCTAATCAGGCTTCTGTCAGGACACCTCTGATATTTATTGATGCTCTCATGGAACAAATAATGGAGAAACAGCAAAACCTGAAAATACTGTAAGTTTAGTTTTTAATTTAACATCATTAATTTACATTTATTGAGACGACGATACATTTATATTTATTTATTATAAATAATTTATAGTGTCTGTTAATAAACTGCAGGTCATAAAGTCTCCTCTGGTTGTGTCTGTGTGTTGGAGTGCGGTGGTGGCGGTGTCATGATGTGGGCTCTGTGTGTTCCAGTTCACTCTGGGAGGAACGGAGGAGCAGCAGGATATGATCCCGTCCAGCACCAAGTGGCTGCGTCAGCGCCGCTGCGGCCGCTGCCTGCTGCAGGTACCGACAAACATCCCAACCAGGAAAACCTTCAGCTGTCCTCTGAGGTTCAGACCAACTGGATCTGATCTGAACCAGAATCAGTTCAGTCCAGATTCAGTTCTCTGTTCAGTTTATTATTCACACTGGTTGAAAGGAAACAGCAGATCGGTGACCAGCAGGGGGCGACAGCGGAGAGGAAAAGCTCCCTTTAACAGGAAGAAAGCTCCAGCAGAACCAGAACCAGCATCAGTACCACCTGCATTCATTTACTGACCAGAAGCTGTATCAGTTTTAACTTCTATTTAAAATAATAAAGTGATGCAAAGCAGCTGAAACTGAGAAAAACATTATTGAAATAAAAAACTTCAGGAGTTTCGTTTTACAGATTCAGTAAAAGAAACTTAAACATATTTTAGATGTTGATGAAGTTATGATGGGTCCAAAGAATGAAACTTGGAGGATGATGATGATGATGATGGTGTTTGTGTGTCTGGAGCAGCAGCCAATGAGGTCCAAGCATTGCCAGACGTGTCAGCACTGCGTGCGGCGCTACGACCATCACTGCCCGTGGATCGAGAACTGCGTCGGCGAGCGGAACCACCGCTGGTTCATCCTCTACCTGGCGCTGCAGCTGCTGGTGCTGCTGTGGGGGCTCCGCGTCGCCTGGTGAGTACGCGCTCCCCCGCCCTGCCCCGGGTCGGAGGTCGGGGAGCTGACGGCCATGTGTCTCCTCAGGACGGGCCTGGGCCACGCCCCCTCCTGGTCGCCGTGGCTGCGCTCCAACGGCGTGCTGCTGGCGGTGTGCGGGCTGCTGGCGCCGCTGGCGCTGGTGGTGCTGCTGCTGCTCGGGTCGCACCTCTACCTGGTGTCCATGAACGCCACCACCTGGGAGTTCATGTCGCGCCACCGCATCTCCTACCTCAAACACTGCGGCGCCGACCAGAACCCGTTCGACCGCGGCGCCGCCCGCAACCTGTGGGGCTTCTTCTGCCAGTGGGGCAGCGTGGTGTGGGAGCAGGCCTACTTCAGGGAGGGCAGCGACCCGGTTTAGGTTCCGCTCACGGGGTCGGATCACCGGCGCCGGTTCTGCCAGCCCGTCGGTCTGGACCGACCCGGATCACGTTCTGGGAAATCAGGACTGAAGTTGTTTAAGGTCCGAATGTTGGACCAGATGAAGACTCTGATTCTGACGACGGATGGTTCCGACCCGTCTGAGCGGAACAAACGGACTGCAGAGTTCTGATCTTCCTCTGACCAGAACTTCTGCCTTGACCTTTCACCTTCACCCATCATGGGCTGTAGAAGAGTTCAGGTTCTGATGGTTCTGTTTACATGTCGGTCTGGGTCGGGTTTCCGGGCCGCCCCGGTTCCTGCTCTTCCTCTCCTTGGACCGCCGTCTTCAGTCTGGTTGCCGTGGTTCCCGACCCACATGGAAGGTCAAAGTTCAGATCCGGGGCCCTTGGTCGGGGCCCGTCCAGCCTGTGGAGCCGTCCGCCATGCAGATGGTTGGTTTGGGCTCAGCTTGTTCTGGGGACCAGAGGGACTGGTTCTGATGGTTCTGATGGTTCTGATGGTTCTGGTGGTTCCGGTGGTTCTGGTGGTTCCGGTACCAGTGGACAGGAGCTGATTAGACCAATAAACACCGAAACAGGAAGTGAGCCGGAGCTCAAACCTGTGACTTCCTGTCAGAA